TTCTCATGTTTTAAATTGCAAGATAAGGCTAATTTTTCTTTTAAGGTTATGCAATTGTGTATATACAGGGTGCGGCAGGGAAACTACCTTATTTTAAAAATGAATAGCACAAATAGTATAAGCAATGTCAGTTTAATTTTTTTTCCAAGTTATAGAAAGACATTCAAAGTTTTTTTTTATTACGATTTAAAAATAATATTAAGCTGGCCTCCGTTCTGGTCAATGCATTGAGATAGTCGAGTTCTATACCAGTCTATGCTGGTAAAAATTGAAATTTCTTTCAATTTTTACCAGCATATGAATGGATATGTTGTCGATAGCAGCTTTAATATTGTTCTTCACTTGAGCCAGGGTCTTTGGACGTTAGAGATTTTAGATAGCCCCACAAAACGAAATCACACGGGCTAAATCAGGTGAGCGTGCTGGCCACTGACAATCGCCTCGTAAGGAGATAAGGCATCCAGAGAAATGTTCTCCAAAAATTCATGGTCCAATTATGCCTATTCTGGACAATGCACACCAAATAGTCACATGTTCTGTATGGAAGGGGCTGCTCATGAAATTCTCGGGGATTCAAGCGACTCCATTAACGCATGTTTTGCTTAAAGCATGCTGCAGCTGGAAAGATGAAAATGAGTCTCATTGCCAAAGAACACAAGGGCATCATAGGGCATATTGTCAAGAACAGCTTTGCATGCATTTTTTTTGTGAAAGAAAAATGGCGTGGATTAAGTTTTCGCACCTTTGCCAATTTATATGGATGAAAATGCAGTACGTTGAAAAGTATGACTCCATGGAGAGAACACGTGCTCCTCTCTCATCCACTTCATGATCGGTACTAAACTTACATGACATAAAACTTTAGATACCGCTCTTTTCAATGAGTGCCACCCCACCCTTCTTGGAATAAATATCGCTAGACGGTGCACATTTCAAATGAGAAAGTTTTCCTGCCGTACCCTGTATCTAATTAGACAGGTGTTTATTTCCTTAAAATGTACTTGAAAATTGCTTATAGGTGCTTATTTTTTTAAGTAAAATGTGACTACTAACCTTTTAATATTTATTCAAAAGCAAAAAATGGAGGTTTAATATTTAAGTATGTAAAAAGTGTTCTTCTCTGTTTTGCTATAATAATTTTTGCTTATATTGCAACATGCAATAAATTAATAAAAAATATTTCAGGTATGCCATTTTGTAGTAAACTATTAAAATATTCTAATATCAGGTTATCTTTTGTGATTGCATATGGGTTCTATGTGCGAAAATATGTACAGACGTGTTGACGTGCATATTTCAAATATTCCATGTTATGACGTGACGTGAGTGGCACACAAATGGCTGGTCACCTTGCGTTCAGACCTCCTTTGTGAAGCCTTCTATGAGCAGCTGATGTTGACACCAACCTTCCAGTGACTGCAGCAAGGGAGGATCTGAGTTGAGGTTTTATGCCTTCGTGTGCATAACAACAAATATCAGTCATCGGCACTCAGGGTGGCAGCTGACCATCCTTGGCTGAAACTTCTGGATGCCATATCTGTGATTAGAAAAAAGTCTATGAATCACAGAAGGACTCACATTAAACCATTTGGCCACTTCTGTCTGACTTTGTTCTTCTTCCAGTCTACCAATAGCTCTCCATCGCAGTTCTTCGAACAAATGATGCCTGGATGTCATTGTTACAAATTGGCTATCCCAGATTCCTTATCTCACAATGAAATTGGCAGGCTTGCTCTTAACCCTTAAATGCATGTTGTTCCATTTGGATACATACTCATATTTAGTCATGTAAATCAAATGAAAATGCAAATTTTAGCTTACTGCGTAGTGTAACCAATTAGATACATACCATTTATGAATGTTGTTCCTGCCAAAAATAGCTCGAACTTATTTAATGATACTTAACTTCAGTAAGTGGACTGTAATATTAACAACAACAAATTTATTTAACAAACCACATATTTAATACTACACACGCATGTGCTTATGTTACCTATGTAACTTATCTAAGAGCGGCAACCATATGCTCTTACATCAAGTCAGAATATACATACTAATAAGCAAAAACGAAAAGAACTTAGGGTTACTAAACCAAACTCGCTTGCGTAAATAATGCTGCAGCAATATCTTTCATCAACCGAACAATGTAATGTTGAAAGTTTAGTGTGGTGTAAGATCATATGTAAGTTGATGTGTAGGGTTGGATATCATTGTGTTTGTTGTATTTTTATGTATACACGTTTTTAAAATTGTTGCAGTTTATAAGGTATGTTTATTGCATAAAATCGTTATGCCATTTGCCTATCAATTTTTTGCATTATGTAGCCATTTGGCAACAGTAATATTCTTTAAAAAATTGGAATACTTAGTTAGAATTTTTTTTTTTTTTTTTTTTTTTTGTATTTTTTGTATTTTATTTGATATCAGTTGTAATGTATTTTTGACTTGAACTAATAAAATAAAAATAAAAATTCATGCATTTAAGAACTAAACATGCAAATTATCCTGATGACTTATTCTGATTACAGCACCACTAATTTGCATACAGCAGTTTTACTCAACTGTTGACAACATATTCAATTTTTATACCAATTGGCTTATTTTTGAATGAGTTATCACATTTTTTGTGATATTTTCCTTAATTTTTTGGAAGCCAATGTATTACATAATTAATGCAGTGTAATTTTTTATGCCTTTTGTCTTTAGCTTTTTTTTTTCCTTTAGTAATGAATTTTTTAATGTAAATTTTCATGGGTGCAAAAAAATATGTATGAATGAACACACCATGGAAAAATGCACTGTTAAAAATTTATACATTTTTTATTCCAGTATTGAGGTTAGAGGATATTTGTTATTACAGTATTTGAATTATGTTTTGAAATTTACTTTTACTGAATGGTTTATGCTATTTAAAAACATGGTCCTTTTTGATAAAAAAGTTCATCATGTTACTCAAATTCAGTGACTTATTTTGATTACTTTTTTCATTTTCATTTTATTTAGCCACCTATTTTTTCACAATACTTTTAACAGTTGACAAATTTCTTCACGTATCAAATTTCTACTCCTTGACTATTTTAGAAAAGTAAAGTACATTATTTTGGGAGAGGATAAGGTACACCATAGAGAAGTGTCTGTTTCCAATGAAATTGAACATATGTGAGCCTTATACATAGATAATAAAATTATTACAATTTGAAGTCCTAGAGCTATTTAATAACTAGTAGTTGCATCTTAAATGTCACAAGTAGTAATCTGTGAAACCTCTGCTGCCTGTGATGCATCTGTTTTATAGCAAGATAAGAAATGATACTATTTATTATACCATTTTAATTTTGCCAGTATTTCTTCAAATCTTACTTGAGATCTTTGATATTCATTGGTGCTTATACTTGATGGCTTAGTATGTTTCATACATGTTCCACTGATGAAAGATCAGGTCACCTTTCTGGATAAGGAGAAGTTGAAATAGCACAGAGACACTCCTGAAACATGTGAGCTGTACAGAACTGAAAATTATTCTGTGTAAAAAAAAGGCATCATTGTGGCATGCTGTGAAAGAAACACAATTGGTTGCAGTATTTTATCAATATACTTTTGTGCATATATAACTACTAGGGATAACTTTCTCTCATAAAAGATGTTACCCCACATCATTACACCTAGACTATTGCTCTTATGCTTTTGCTGAATAAGGACTGCTTGGAAGCTCTGACCCGATCTCTTTCATATGCTGATATAATGATCGTTTGTCTCAAGATTGAAAGAGGATTCATCGCGGAAAAGACAGTGCAGTTATATTGAGTAGTCGAAAACGATGCTCAGGCACAAAACCATTCCAAAAAGTATTGTTAATTTTGGATTGATCAAAGAAAGACCTCTTAAAAGGTGGCCCTGAATCAGGCAAGCATTGTGAAAGGGTAGAAGTTATTACAGTTGGTATGGAAGACGATATAACAGATTGTATCATGGATGATGATGATGCTAACACAGTTGAGGCTTATGGTACAGTCAGCTGATCTTTGCTTGATTTAGCAGCTTGGCCTACCAGAGTTTTAATTTCATCAGTGCATTATTTGTAGCAGCATTTTTGTGTGGCCAAGGGAGGATTTGTTGCTCAACATGACCAGCTATCTCCATTAACCCTCTAAGCGGCCCGTGTTTTTGGATCTGTATGAAGACCTGTATTTGAAGAGCCTTTACTAGCTAAATATGTATATTTACCTATTTTAGTCTTTTTTTTCATAAACTTACATTCATTAAGATAGTATTAATATTATTAATGAAAGTAAGAAAGCAAAATATCTTTACTCTCTGAGTGGTACGGGTCTTTAGATCTGTGATGAAAACCTGTATTTATGCAGCATTTATTAGCTAAATTTATACAATTACTTATTTTAGCCTCTATTTTCATTAACTTACATTCATTAAGATTACATTTACATTATTAAAGAAAGTAAGAAAGCAAAATATCTTAAGCTAATATATAACAAGTGACAAAAAAGTCTCATGACCAGATATAGCTGATCATGGCACTCAGAGAGGTAAACATACAGCATTTGGTCCCTTTCAAAATTATCAAATTATGTGTAAGATCTTCATGTATGTTATTGCTAGTAATTTGTAAATGATACTCTAAGGTGGCATTAGATACTTTATAGGATGCTAGTTGCACAGTAGAAATGCATTCTGTGATTAAAGTTGACATGTAGTATACTAGTAGCTTGTTATAAAACTTAAAACCTTTTAGGAAACAAAGTAAAAGTATTAACTTTCCAAGTAAAATAAAAACTTTCTGTGGCAAAATAGCTTGGGTTATGGAGGGAATAAAGCATTTTATGGGCATTGATATCCCCACCTGGTATTAAAATATCAAGTACTGCATAAAATGCACCAGCAGATCTGTTCGAGGGTTAAAAACATTTTTGCAAAATTAGGCTGCTTTTAGAAGTTGGCATGCAAAGTATGATTTCTGTTAATGATCTTGTTTTCTCTAACAGGACTGGCCTATCAAAGGAGGCTCTGTTATACCTGATGATAATCCAGTCAATAATCTTTTAGTCACTGGTCATGAAAATGGTTGTGTGAAAATCTGGAAAGCTACACTAACTTCATTACAACTTATTTATTCATTTCATACTTCGCAAGTTTTTGTTACTTACGATGGAGAAGAAGAAAAAGATGATGATGATAATGAAGAGTGGCCACCTTTCCGTAAAGTACGTATGTACGAGCTTACATGTTTTGTATAGTCAGCATATTTAACTCATTGAATATTTTTTCTCCTTCTTCTAAAGGGAAATAGGCATTAAATGCTTTAATTTCTGAAATTTTTATCTCAGTTGTTTTCCTTCTCAGAGTAAGTAAAATAAACTTTTCTTTTCTGTTTTGTATCGTAAGTCGCTATAGTTGATACTACATTCTTTTTATTAGAATTTATTTATTTCTTTTTTTTAAATATCACACATGCACAGATGGTAAATTGGTGTGTTAAGGGTCATAAGGGAAAATATATTATGAAAGAAAGTTGTTTTTATGTCTTGTTCAATACAGTCAAAAGTCTGTAATCCGGACGTCCATAATCCGGACCTCAAGGCTACAAACTTGCTGCGCATGTGTCAACGCATAGTGCATTTTTGCATGCACATAATACCTTTACGCATGTGCATATGTGTTTACACGTGTGCATTTAATGTATAACGGATGGTATAAGCTAAGCTAAAATCATGTAATTGTCTATTTCAGTTAATGCAGATTACGTTGTTCCTTAATCTTGTAATTGGATCCGGCATATTATTTTTTGCGGACTGTTAGAGCAATTTTATAAAAGGTAAGCTTGAACTTTCAATTATGTCAAAAAGAATTTTCGATTCTGGAGCTGCAAAGCGAAGGATACTGAAATTCAAAGGATCTACATAGCGAAAGCATTTTTCGATGTCCATCAAACAAAAAGTGGATTTACTGCAAAAAATGGATAAAGCGTATCCTTTGTTTCTCTAAACATTCCAAAATCTGTTTATCAATTTCATGCTGCTCTGTGGGGAAGGGACGACGCGGCGCGCAATGAATTGGAAGTTGATCTGTCAGCACTATCCTCATCTTCGGGGCAGATGTTTTTATTTTATTCAGCTTATAATTCCTTACTAAATGTAGTATTTCATCTCAATGTACTCCGTCTTTGATATAATTTAAATCAAATTCCTCATCATTATGAATATCATGAATACACATCAAATAGTTTTCTGGTTGCAATTTTCTAATTTCAACTATGCGTAGTGTATGCTTGATGCTTTACTCATGCGCGCATTAAAAGAAATGTTTAATAAAGTAAACAAATAAATATTAAGCTTTTTTTTTTTTGTAAATTTTGATACCCTTTAGATCATAATTGCTCTGTATTTCATAAATTACAGTTTCATATTTTTAATTGTATAATTTCTGCATGCCATCTTACCAGATTTAAATTGATTATCTATAATCCGCAAAAACCAATAATCCGGAATTTCTGAAGTCCTGACGAATCCGCATTAAAGACTTTTGACTGTATCAGTATGTCAAGAATGAAAAGTAGAGTGGAGCTACACAAAGAAAATTCATCTTTTCTTTACTGTAAGTCGGTAGTTACCAAAATGTGTACATAGTACCAAAATGGAGACAAATTACATGGGCCTTGCAGAGTTGCCAACTCTCCCGATTTTTTACCGTTCTCCTGCCAGCCCGATTTACAACATATTTCTCCCGACTTTCTCTTATTCTTAAATTTTCTCATGAATTTTATGTAGCTTGACTTAAAAGTGATTTGAGGTGTCTGAAAGAACCTGCAATTTTAGACTGCATAGAAAACCAATGTAGTTTTATCAGTGATAAATTATGGCGCGCTTCTGCTTTGTGAATGAGAGCATATGTCTGAAAACATCATGTTCCATTTCTCCAATGAGCATGGAGTGCCACTCCAATGAGCATCTGGCACATATTACCCAATGAGCACAAACAAGATTGAAATTATTATTTCGTTCATCTTGTCGCTAACCTGTGTGAACATTCATGCTTTCGAGAAATAGTTTAAGAAATTGCAATATTTTATATTAGTTATGTCAGTAAAAAAGGTAACATACTCATGTACTTTTCAAAAATCGTACACAGATGACTTTCCTTCTAATACAGTACAAAGTCCGTAATCCGGACTCGTGCGATTCCGGATTAGGCGTTTTTCCGGATTATAGATCATCAATTTAAATCTGGTAAGATGACATGCAGAAATTATTCAATTAACAGGGTTGCCACGCTACCTGGAAAACCGGAAAAAGTCAGGGAATCGGAATTGACCAAAAAATTCAGGGAAGTCAGGATTTAAGTGTTTTAGTCAAATCTGGAAAAGTCAGGGAATTTCATACAACGACCCGCCAAAAAGGCGAGTTTTGCACCGACTCGGAAGAGTCACTTTTGGCGAATCACGTGAGTGTCATTCGGGCAGCTGCATAGAGCCAATTTTCGCAGCTCCAATTTGATTGTCTTTTTAGAAAGGCAAAGCAAGTTTCCCCAACTTTTGGTTTCCAGATCCCTCGAGAATCGCATGTGCATTGCATGAAACTAAAGAAAGTACCTGTTCTCGTATAAAACAAAATGGGTTTAATCTAGTATACGGTACCATGAAGTAGAATAAAAATATTTTGTAAAAAAAAGGAAAACCTCTCTAAAACAGACGTGGCTCCTTCCATCATAGCGGGAAACAGAGTACATGCGCAAAGCTCGAAACCGGTCGAAGTTCGAAGGTCACGTTATCAAGAGTTCAAAAATGGAATCTTTAAAATTTTTTAAAGAAAAGAAAATATTTTGGCGCAAGTAAATTAATTCATGGATTAGTTATTTTGAGGGGGGGGGGAAATCTACGAAAATCCCTTTTAAAATTATTGCGAAAACCAGAAAAAGTTCTTTGATAAAACGTTTCTTGGATTTTTTCGCAATAATTTAAAAACGGATTTTCGTAGTTTCTTTTTTGTCAAAGAACATTTCTTCTTTACAAGTGTTTCTCATTTCCTTACACATCGCGGAGAATGAAATTTGGCCACCAGATTCCGTCGCCAATCCCTTGGCAAATTTTCCCTCCGCTTTTTACATAGCGTTCTTTGGTAGAATAATCTCCCATGATGTACAGAGGGATTTGGCGACATTATGATGAGCTGTAAATGGGTTATTTTTCTTGGCGACAATTTTCAAAATCATGCGAAGGCCGGATCGTATACTAGGATTTTCCGCAAATCTTTTTTTTTTTTTTTTTTCTTTCTTTCTTTTTATTAAATACCTTGTCATTTTGCAGTAAAAAAAAAAAAATAGTAATCAATCTCATCTGGATAACCAGTAATATAACTATATTCGCTAAAATATCGTTGATTATTCTAATTATTTTTAAAGTAATTATCTTTATTTTTATGTTATTCATATCATTTAATGTTGCTTCTTCCCTCTAAATTTATTTATCATTAGTAAATAATATTTCCAAATTTCAGGAAATTTTCTCTGGCATAATCCTGAAAAATTCTAACAGTATGATGACATCACGAAATTTAATGCACATATTTTTTCTTTATGTATGCTGCGAAATAAATATAAAATACCTCAATTTAGTAAAAAAATATCATTAAATAGATTTCTTTCTTTCGTTTAGCTGCAGAATGTTCTGCAAAAAAATCCCTTTATTTTATTCCAGATTTGGCAGATCTAATCTCAATCTTCAGTGGAGAAAAACAACTCCTATTATAATAATACATTTGTGTTTTCAAGTGTTAAGGGCCTTTAAAATATACACACCTCAACAAATTAAATTTAACCTAAAATCTAACTAACTTTAGGCATTGCGTCGTGATTTAAAAGAACCGGAATAGCCTCGTGTTAAACTGGGGATGATCATGAATAATAATTAAATAAACGTACAGTTGTTATCTAATGTAATATCTTAAATTTTATTAAGTTTTTTTTAAGCAGAAAAGTAAACAAAATTATCAAACGAAGTGTACCAAGAATAATTAAGAATAAATGTCCTCTGGGATTTTTATTGAATAATTAAGTGAATTTGCTACACAGTACAATATACCAAATTAATTTACCTCTTAGCACAACCAAGTACATTACGCGGATTAGACTGGAATTTTCTCGAACATACCTGGAAACCTGGAAAAGTCAGGGAATTTCATTCTCTGTTTGAGTGGCAAACCCTGACTTAAAAATATGAAACCATAATTTATGAAATAAGAGGCAATTTATTCTAAAGGGTATCAAAATTTACAAAAAAAAGCTTAATATTTATTTGTTTACCTTATTAAACATTTCTTTCAATGTAAGTTGTTTAATTTGCTTCATTTTTTGTGCTAATACTTTCTCTTTAATTCTGCAGACAGACAATAATCTTCTTGTTTAATTACAAAGTTATTGAAAGTCCTGTAACTGCTATTTCAAGAATTCCGAACTAGCTTGTCAATCAAAATTTTTTTGTTTTCATTAACCTCTCTGTTACTTTCTATCGGAAGCGTGCATGGGTAAACATTTTACGCGCATGCATAAGTTTGTGGCTTTGAGGTCCAGATTATAGATCATTCCGGATAATGGATGTCTGGATTACGGACTTTGCACTGTACTTGCTAAAGAAAATATAATGCATTTGCAATGTGTACTGTTTGTCATTGTAATTTTTTTTATTTCGCACAGTGGAAGGGCCGATGTTCTCAAACACGTTCGTACACAAAAACACAAGGACAATACGAGTTCTATTGAAGAAAATGAAAAGTTAATTTTTTTCTGTGGAAACAAAGGACCAAAAAGTTATTAATGCAGAATGTTCTGTTTGCATTTAAGAATTAGTAACTGAACTTTCAGATATTAATTGGTAACGATTTGAAGGTAATTCATTATTAAAAATATATTTTTGTCGTTGAAAGTAAATTTCCCGATTTCTAAAAAAGTTCTGATTTTTGAGAGTCGTAGGTTGGCAAGTATGGCCTCGTAAAGTTTTGAAGTGATCTATTTTTTATGTATTATTAAACAGTTCAATAATATTAGTACACATTTTTTTGAATTATTAATAACAGATGCCTACTTAAAATTGTAAATTAAATTATAATTATTAAATGATTTTATCCATTATGTCTAGTTCTTTATTCACATTTTATTATTACATTATTTTCATTTAGGAATTTCCTTTTTCTTTTCCCTGAACAAGATATAC